AAACTGCAGTTGTCAAGCCCCTCCTGTAAAAGAGCAATCTGGATAAGACCATTAAGCAACTATAGACCGATCTCAAATCTTCCTTTCATAGGCAAGATCATTGAAAAAGTTGTCTTCAATCAGCTGAACAAATTCTTAAGCTTGAATGGATACGTTGACAATTTTCAATCTGGTTTCCGATCGCATCACAGCACAGAGACAGCGCTCATAAAGACAATAAACGATATTCGCTTAAATACTGATACAGGCTAATTATCAGTACTGGTACTACTCGACCTCAGTGCTGCATTTGACAATGTCGATCACGACATACTTCTTGACAGGCTGGAAAACTGGGTGGAGCTTTCTGGGATAGTCCTAAAATGGTTCAGGTCGAGAAGGGAGAGGTTATTATGTGAGTATAGGAGACCATAAGTCTGAGTGGACATCCATGGCATGCGGAGTCCCTCAAGGCTCAATTCTTGCGCCACTCCTGTTCAAGCTGTATATGCTCCCAATGAGCCAAATAATGAGAAAGAACCAAATTGCTTACCACAGCCATGCAGACGACACACAGCTCTACTTAGCCCTATCGCCTAACGACTACAGCCCCATTGACTCCCTGTGCCAATGCATTGATGAAGTAAACAGTTGGATGTGCCAAAACTTTCTTCAGTTAAACAAAGACAAAAATGAAGTCATTGCGTTTGGAAACAAAGATGAAGTTCTCAAGGTGAATGCATACCTTGACGCTAGGGGTCTAACAACTAAAAATCAAGTCAGGAATCTTGGTGTGTCTCTACAGTCAGACCTTAGTTTCAGTAGTCATGTCAAAGCAATAACTAAATCAGCATACTATCATCTGAAAAATATTGCAAGAATTAGATGCTTTGTTTCCAATCAAGACTTAGAGAAACTTGTGCATGCTTTTATCCCCAGCAGGGTGGATTACTGTAATGGACTCCTCACTGGCCTTCCTAAAAAGAGCATAAGACAGTTGCAGCTCATACAGAACGCTACTGCCAGGATTCTGAGCAGGACCAGAAAATATGACCATATCACACCAGTCCTCAGGTCTTTGCACTGGCTCCCAGTTACATTTAGGATTGACCTTAAAGTATTATTACTGGTATATAAATCATTCAATGGCCTAGGACCTCAATACATTGCAGATATGCTCACTGAATATAAACCTAACAGATCACTCAGATCATTAGGATCATATCAGCTAGAAATACCAAGGGTTCACTCTAAGCATGGCGAGTCTGCTTTTAGATATTATGCCAGCCGCAGCTGGAACCAGCTTCCAAAGGAGATCAGATGTGCTCCTACAGTAGTCACATTCAAATCCAGACTCAAAACACATCTGTTTAGCTATGCATTTACTGAATGAGCACTGTGCCACTGTGCGTCCGACTGTTTTTTACTGTACTTTATTTAATTTTTTATTCTAAACTGTTTTCATTATTCTTATTTGTTTTGATTATTTTAATTTCTTCTATATGTAAAGCACTTTGAATTACCATTGTGTAGGCCTATGAAATGTGCTATATAAATAAACTTGCCTTAAAAAAACATAAATGACTAACATATTATTTGTGTTTACCCATTTTATTTTTGTTTTCTGGGCTGTTTTCAGAATGGTAGTCGTGATATTGACATTCATGATATTAACAACTCAATTTCTTAAACAAATAAGAAACAATAACCAAACAGTTTGGAAGCAAATAAAAAAACGTCAGAGGTGAGCTAATGCCTAAAACAATAAACTAACATAAACTAACTTCCCCACAAGAAAACGAACTTCCCTGAATTAAAATAAAAGAAACAAAACATTCAATTACATACCCTACCTCCTAACCAATAAACAGGAGAAAAGGTGGAGGCCTTTTGGCCTACAACATAAATGGGAGCAAAACCCCCTACAGCTTCTCAAATAATGAAGATGTGATACAGATTGGACCAATAGGGACCACTGATGTTATCAAAAGATCAAACTGTAGCAAAAGCAACTAACAGCACTCTGTTAAACACCACAAGCGAGATCACAAAAATCACAGGCCTAACACACAGCAGCACAACAATCAAGAGCAATCAAAGTGACAGAAAGAGCTATACCTCCAGAGGAATTCTGGGAAATTTATAATTTCCGAATCTCTTCTTTGGTCTGAGCATCAACAGTGTCTCGTTACCTCCAGGACCGATCCTAAAGGAGAAAAAAAAACAGAGACCGCAAGAACAACAGAGACAATGCAGCTACAATGTGTCACCAATGTAACAGTAGTAAGGAATTCAAGAATGTCAGTTTCAATCACATTTCTTCCATACAAATGCCTTAAAATGCGTAAACCCTTGATCAAATTAAACGTGTAATATTGTAGTACATATGTACTACATAACTGTATACTGTTCTGACCCTTCTTGACATTGAGTGTACAAGTTCATGACAAATTCTTATATATATTTTGTTAAACTCCTGGAGGATGACATCCTTGAGTTTGATGGGGAGTGTTGTCTCTACAAAATCCCCCACAGGTGCCCAATAGTGTTAAGGTCGGGTGAAATACTTTTAGTTTGTTTCTCTTCAGTTCAGTTCCATTTTCCCACTTATCATTTTGTTACCATGGCTATAGATGAATTAGTTGTCACCGGTTTGTCACTGAGTTCATTCACCAAGTGTATTAGTCATTCAGTTCAGCGTCCGGTATTGTGCCTAGCACACTGTTTCATGCTGTTTGCCTGTTACTCACTGCTTGTTTTATTTACTAAATATTCACTTTTCGTCTTCATCTTCATTGGACTTCAATAGATTGTTACTGATATGTATTCAGACAGACTTCCTCTTACGTCAGCTGCTGTTAAACATTATAGGTTACTAAAAGGAACTGCTGACCACACATGGATTTTTATGAATGCATGTCGTGCAGTGATAGTTCCAACCACCAACTTGTCAGCGAAAGCTTGACTGGGTAAATAGGGTAGTGGTAAAGATATCTTACACAGACACAAACCTTCTGTTTGGCATAATTCCACATTGCAATATATCAGTATTAAAAGATCTCTATCAATCCACTGCTCTTCTTACATTTTAGGGGATGGCCATTTGGATTATATACATTATTACTATGTTCCAGGGTCCTATGTTAAATAGCAGATAATGCACTGTAAACATTTTTATATATATATAATTTTATTGGTAAAAAAAAGTGTTAAATGGTGAATGGCAAGTTCACTTACTATAATTTGTGAAAAACATTATGACCTAATAGATCTGTTGGGCCATTTTGCATAAAAATACAGTAAAATGCTTTTAAATCTACATATTCTTATGTGAAAAAACGTAAACTGATATCCCCACCTGCGTTACATTTTCCATTTGATGGTATTTTGTTTAAATAATTGTTGTTATTATGTACATTAATGTTTTATGTTATATCTTATGTTGTTTAAATCATGTTTATTGCATTATTTTAGTGTCATGTGTGTTACCAAGGTGATGTATTGTAGTTGAGTCTGGGCACCTATTAATTGACATCAGCTTGTGAAAAAGCTACTTGTGATGAACTCTATTTCATCGTGTGTCTCTTTTACCACCTGTATTATCCGTACAGAAATAGGTTTTATTACTTAATGGAATATTAAAATATAATTTAATGAAATATATCATTTTGTACTGTAAATTTAAGTTCAGTCCCATAAAACCTAAAATGTTGCTGTTTTTTTAACTGAAAGTGTTGGCAACCACAGCTGATTCACAGCTGACCATGGGAACATATCCTCATACCAACAAATACAAAAACTGATTCCAACCGTTCAATCTTTATATTCCATCTGTAGGTCCCTAGTGACTCTCACTAGTTTAATTGATAAACAATTTTCACTGGTAGTAAGGAATTCAAGAATGTCAGTCATATTTCTTCCATAGAAATGCTTCTTCCCACACTTGACTTGTGTGAAGACACTTCACAGATGTAACCCAGATTCTAAACTATTCAAGAAATTATGTTTTTCAAGTAAAACATAAAATACTACTTCTTTTTGCTTCATGCTTCCTCATTTTTTGTTTTGTTTATAAGATGTATGTCACTGTCTTTAAATTTTAAAGACTCTTTTTGTCTTTATACACTGTATCTGTTTGTGGAGGTCTTCTCTTATTGCTAGGCCTACATGAAGGGCAGCTGTTCAGGGGCAGCAGGGAGTGAAGATTATTAGAGTAGTCATATCTCTTGGTTTTCTAACAATAGCCTTTCAGGTTGCGCTGGTAAAGATATGCAAATAATCAAGATGATAATAACGTTTTTGAATGTGGAAATATAGGTTGCTGAGTGCAAATTTACAGTTACTGTAACTGAAACGGAACGGATTCCACAAAACTAAAATGTGAAAGACATGACAAAAATGTGGTCTCATATAGCCTACCAACCTAGCCTGTACATTTCTGATTTTAATAAATACGTGTGCCATGCATAAAGTAGCTACATAATATAGCGTAGGCCTACGGTCATTTTTTACTACTCATTGTCGACGGAATGAAAAAAAAACGTAATTGGGAATTTTAATCTTACAACAATTTTACAATTCAGATTTTCCCTACAATAAAAATAATTTCTCGATAACTCTGAATTGCGAGATATAAAGATATAAACGAGAAATAAACTCGCAATTGCGAATAAAAAGTCGCAATTGTTTTTTTTATATATATATTTTTTTGTATTTTATAAACAATCTGTCATCATGTATATATTAGGCAATATTTGAGTGTAAGGGCAAAGTGAAAAACGTTGTGGTTGGTTTTCTCGTAACACGATGCAAAAGTCCCTGGAAGTTGGTGCAGAGAGCGAAATCAAATAAGATCACCTCAAATTTCCGACCTTTGCCACTGTCTACTTTCATGACGTAAAGCTCATGAATATTAACTTGATCATTGAACGTCAAGCTACCCTTTACAGCCAATCAGCTGTACGGACGTCATATTACTGAATTAATATTCATGAGCCAGGTCTCTGTGTGGTCACCATTGACAAATTCCACCCTCTGCGTATCCTAATATTTTTTTTAGCTGCTTCGTCTAAGTCCAGAACGGAGTGCAGCTTGCAGTTTTTGAAGTACTGAAGTTGATGTCCCCTGAATAACGTGTTTCCAGACCGAAGGTAAGCAGACGTCAAGGTGTATGGCACAACAGAATGTTCGCTAATGCTAACGCTAGTATGTTGTAGGTTACTTAATCTCAACAGCCTGATTGTCATTTTAAGGTCAAAGTCCCACTGTGCGCTCTCTCTCTCTCTCTTTCTCTCTGATCCGCCCTCCTTTTGAATGTTTTGTCTGTCTTGATCGGACCGATGCTGTTGATCGCAAAAGGAGAAAAGTGAAAGACAAAATTCACTGAGAATCACGAACTGTCAAACCGAAACCGTGTAAACCTGCCTCATGGTGTGCCATGATGTTACAACGCATGCATATCTTTGATGTTATTGAGTCTCGTTTTATAGGGTGATTGTGTTAAGGTTTAAGACGGTTGTTGTGTTTTGCGAACAGTTTGTTGCTGATCATTAGCTGGTGCATCCTGGACCAGCTACCATCTGGTCATACCAGTTAATGGTGGTCTAGCTGGTTTTTGGAATGGTATGAGTGAACATATGTATATGTTATAGCCTACATTATATACGTCTATATGTCTAATATGGTCACTCACAGGTGTGTGTATGTGTGTGAGAGAGAGAGCGAGAGTTATGTTATACATTATAAATGTCTAATTATAAAAGGGTTTTTTGTGTGTGAAATTAACTGGACAGGTTGAGCTGTGTGAAGAGTCTTCTCTATAATTACATTATGGAGATTGCATTTGCATTTATAATATTTTGTTGTACTATATTGTATTACAGTGCATAACTTCTTATCTTTTACATTAGATATACAAATGTTATTTCAATGCTTTTTTAAGTGTAATTTCCTTGCAGTTCAAAAGCACAGCTATAAAATGACATTAGCCGGAAAAAAAAAACATTTCTGCAAGTTTCTTGAAATCTTTGGGCAGGACGTCTTTTGACTCTAAGGAGTGGTATGTTATGTTGCATATTACTAATTGTCATACACATACCAAGAGGTGATTAGATTACGGCACAGTCATTCCCCTTATTTAAAAAAAGTTACATAAGATGTTTGAATCATAATGCACAACTATATGATGTAATGATCATGAGCACGTTATGTCCATGTCAGTCAGTGTAGTGTGGTTGGCTTGAGGAAGAAGTGAGAAGTGTTATATTTGAAGCCCTACACATGCTAGAGGCGCGTGCACATGTGACTGACAAAGCCTCTGTCTCTTAAAGGGACAGCAGCTCTGAATAACTCCCAGTGGTTATGTATTTGAGTTATTTAAAAAAATAACTTTAGCTTACTTTTTGCATTCCTAGTACTCCCATCGTATAGGTCAGCTGCAGCTATAGACATCCGTTGAGGATCTGTCAGTGAACTACTAGTGGATATGAATCATGCACAAACAATGTACCGGTAGATGCAACACGCAGGCGGTTTCATAAAAGCTATGGAATGTTCTGCTTAGCCCATCATGTTCACACTGTCCCAGTGACTCAATTTGATATCGTACAGTTGTCATGGAAATGACACATGACCTCTTTGGCAAATGGCAACAGATAAGTGTTCCTGAAACACTTATTGCTCAAACTTGCCTTATTGACCCGAGCAAACACGTATTTATTTAGCATAGTTTAGCGTTGTTTAATACTTTACCATTCTTTTTTCTTCTGTACCTGCTTGTGCTCATGATATACTTACACACTACCGGTTTGGAATAATTAAACTTTTTTTTATGTTTTTGTACGAAGTCTCACCAAGGCTCCAATTATCTGATTAAATATGTAAAAACAAATCATTTATTTATTATGATTACTCCAGTCTTCAGTGTCTCATGATCCTTCAGAAATCATTATAATATGATGATTTGCTGCTCAAGAAACATATTATTTTCAATGTTGAAAAACAGTTGCGCTGCTTATATAAACTTAATATTTTTGTGCAAACCAGGCTACACTACAATTCAAAAGTTGACAAAAATTGATACGCATTAAATTGATTAATTGAAGCAATTATAATGTAAAAAAAAAAAAAAACATTTCACATAAATGCTGTTAATTGAACTTCCTATTCATCAAATAATTTTTTAACTTCATATAACATTTACAATTGTACTGGTTTTACTATATTTTTTGATCAAATAAATGCAGCCTTGCTGAGCATAAGAAACTTCTTTTTAAAAACATTAAACAACTCTATTATTCCAAACTGTCGACTGCTAAGTGTATATATTTATTTTTTTATTTTGACAGATCTTTTGTTACTGCTACTATGGCACACTCAAGTCAAGATGGCGACTATGTAGCTGATGGTGAAGTTGGATGGTCCTCCATTGGTCATCGTCTGAATTCCTTCCAGCACTTCCCTCGTTCTGAAGAAATTTCAGCGGAGCGACTGGCCCGTGCAGGCTTTTATTTCACAGGCGAGGCTGACAAGGTGTGCTGTTTTAGCTGCCATGCGACGGTGGAGGACTGGAACAGAGGGGATACCCCATTGAAGAGACATCAGCAAGCATCTCCCGGCTGCAAGTTCCTTAGCTGTGCTCACGGCTTGAGAACCTCCAACCTCGTCCACAGCCCTGCTTACGACGAAGTGGCCGAAGCCAGAGAGTTCCTCCTCCGCACGGGAGGGGTGGTGGATGAGACCATTTATCCCACTGTGCCACACATGAAGAGTGAGGAAGCTCGGCTGAATACTTTCAGTGACTGGCCTGCAGACGCTCCAGTTCAGCCCGATGACCTGGCAGCAGCAGGGATGTATTACTGTGGGACAAATGACTATGTGCAGTGCTTCTGTTGTGGGGGGAGACTGGCAGGATGGGAGCAAGGTGACGATGCCTGGGATGAACATGCAAAGCACTACCCAAACTGCTTCTTCATCTTGGGCCACGATACGGGCAATGTGCCGCTGACAACACCTAGACCCAGGCTGAATGGCCGTATAGCCTCCGTGGAGACTTGTGAGGGGCGTCTTGATAGCTTCAGAGGCAGACAACACCCCATAGATCCTGAGAGGCTGGCCAGAGCTGGTTTCTACAGCACAGGTAACTTACTGTTATGTTTCTCCATGTAGAAATGCATATTCAGTTCATTTATTAATTAAATCTCTTATATAGTCTTTAGAAAAATGAGCATGGTTTGATATACTTGGAGAATAGAGTGCTGCAGTGATGATGTATTTTTGTAGGCTAAATCAATAGCGTCACCCTGGCTCCCTTGACAAAAACCCTTTAGGTATCTTGAGCTTGTGTTAAACAGACCTTATTTCAGGTGTTTAACCAAAAACCTTTTCAATTAACCCATTTACTTCGGGACGATGGAAGTGTTAAATGGCTACAAAAATACGTCATCCCTGTAGCACTCTATTTGAACACAATGAACAAACTGTCCTGGTGTTTTGTCATATAGGAGAACAAGACCGTGTGATCTGCTTTAGATGTGGAGGAGGAGTGAAGGACTGGATACCTGAGGAAGACCCTTGGGAGGAGCATGCCAGGCACTATCCAGGGTGAATGACTTTTTCATATATTGAGACTTTGAGGTACGTTTGCAAAAATGCAAAAAGAGGTATTTAACTTAATGTCTAGGCTGCTCTTTTGCATAAAATTAAAGTTGATAGTAATTGGTTCTGTCAAGCTCCAAGAGCAACCAGAAAAGTAGGAATGCACCACTATTAAAAATTTGACTGAAAATTGTCCTATGGCTGAATACATATAATATAATAATTCTATACATTTTTATAGTAAGTAAATATATTTGATTGATTTTTGGAAAACCATTAAAATATTCAATCAATCATTTAAATGCAAATTTAGGTGTCACAACATTATAATGTACAGTATGAAAATGGAAAATTGGTTAACGTGAGCTAACAATGAGCAGTTGTATTTTTATTTACCAACATTAATAATGAGCAATACATTTGTTACATTTTATGTATTGATCTTTTTTTTAATTGTTCGTTAATGCATTAATGCTTTAACTAATATGACCTTATTGTAAATGTTACCATCTTTTCTGATATTTAAATCTAAAAACACATTTGAAAAAATATATAATATTTATCTGCATATTTTAGATAAAGATCATGTGAGGTAAACATTGAAGAATGTGTTTTCTAAATGTAAAATTATTATAATCGACCCCCAGCTGCAGTTTCCTTCTGGCAGAAAAAGGAGGAGAATATGTCAGCAATATACAACTGAGATATCCGAATGGAGTCCATTCAGTGAGTAATTTCCTATCTTTTACACAACCACTTGTACTTCAGTTGAATGTGTTGAATTGATAGAATTCCTAATGAATGTTCTTTGAAAATACCCTTTGATCCTGCTGTAAATAGTATGCACTTTATTTTACAGTCCTGTTCCACGTGTACATAGTATACTATGTACTCATTATATCAATTACAATAACTGGGTTATAACTATGTACTAACCCTGAATCTAACCCTAAACCTAACCTTAACCCATGTAGTTACCTAATATTATAAGTGCTTCCTTGGGTAACTACACTGTGAGTACATTGTAAGTACGGTACACAAACTGTAAAATAAAGGGTTACACTTTATTATGAGGTGTCATTGTTACAGTATAATTATACATTTAAGAACGGAGTAATATTAATTAACTACATGTACTTACTATAGTAAATATGTAACGAACACTGTAAACTAAAGTGTTACCAAATAAAGTGTAACCATGTAGTCTTACATATTTATTATTTGGACTTACAGAGGTCAAGTCAGAATGGTTTTTCAAGTCATGAGCAAGGTAAGGGTTTTTAAGCTCAATTTACGTACAGATCCAATGAATAACCTCTGTTTTTATAACTGCATGGGAACATGCTGTCTTCACCAGACATGTATTTGATTTGCACTTTGTCTGCAGCAGCACAGAAAGTCCTGCAGTCAGAGATTGCACAAAAGGCTGTAGATATGGGTTTTGACCCCATCAAAGTGGAGAGCGTTCTCCAGAAGTTACGTCAGAACAATGAGGGCTATGCTTCAGTGGAGGCTCTTATTCAAGACATCCATGCACTGGAGAGCGCCAGTGACGTGCCTAAGAAAGTTGGCAAGTGCTTTGTTTTGTATGCAAGGAACTCTTAAAAGTAGTGATGATATACGTATATGCTTCAGGTTCTTGCATAACAAGTCTTTAACCTGCAAATACGACGCAACAAATTTTTTTTTTAATCAGTCTTAAAAATAACATGCCAAACTGTGCAGATTGACAACTTTTGAAAATCATATAATAAAATAAGCAGAGAACCATTAACTGTTGTTGTTATTTTTTTTATTCCTCCACTCTATTACTGTTGTTTTAACATTGTGTTTGTTTCTTACATGATTTCTGCAGAGGACCCCATGATGAAACTTGAGAAACTCCAGAGGGAGAAACTCTGTAAAGTCTGCATGGACAGTGACATTAGCACAGTCTTTATTCCCTGTGGACACCTGGTCACTTGTCAAAAATGTTCAGAATCCCTGGACAAGTGTCCTATCTGCTGTGCCACCATCACACAGAAGATAAAGACCTACAATGCCTAAAAGACAAAGAAACCAGCACTCCAATTGAAACAGGGATGTGCATTGAAAGTGGCAGAATATAATCATTCCTAAAACTGCACATAGATGATCAAATTTGATTTAAGCTGTGTGTGTGTGTATATATCTGTAGATGTACTAAACTCTAAACAAATGATATTGTTTTATTTTTTCATTAAGACCTGAAAAGAACACGCTGTACATTTTATGTTTGCTTTTGATCAAGGCAGGGACACACTACATCATTTAACATGTAATATATTGTAGGGAAAGACATCTTTATTATTTATCCCCATATAGCTGCTTCCCTCAAATACACAAACTCAGATTGATATTAAATACCATAGTGCCTTTATGTAGACTACATTTTTTCTGTTTATTAATTTTGTATAATCATGTAATAAGAAACAATGTAGCTTATCTTTGCTCTTTTATTTATTATTAAATAATGATTGCTTAAGAATTTTAATCATGTTCAAGGTTGATTAAACTTTACCAGTCCAAACTTGTTTTTCTTCCGATACCTTTCTGTGATCATAATTCTTTTAATAATAATTTTATTATGCTTGGCAATGATAATAAAGTGAAATTCACAACTGAACTTTTTTTTCTCTGTTTCATCTGTCACTTTTAAAATTGATAAACTGGAAATGTGAGGCTAAAAGCTTTTATGCTCACAGCAGTAGAACACAATTTACTTCATTAGATATCAAAATGTAATTTCCATAGGGATCATCATTTCAGCCTGCTTGACAATGAATATAATTCATTTTAAACATTTAATTATGTTGCTATATATCATATAGGTTTAGTAAGTGCTTCTGCAAACTGTAGTGGTCTGTAGCTGTCAGATAGTTTTTTTTTTTTTAATGGTTAAACATTCATGTAAATGTATTTGTGCTATGATAGCATGTGCATCATAATATTTTTTTAATTTATATTAATTGTATTTGTATAATTATGTTTTTGACGAATCTACAGATATATATATGAATAGGACAAAGTGTAATTTTAAATTCCTATGAAAATCGATTCTAGTTGGTAAATATTGTCCCATAACAATAAAAAGGTTAAAGGGGTAGTTCACCCAAAAATTTAAATGGTAATTACTTACCCTCAAGTTGTTCCAAACCTGTATGAATTTCTTTCTTCTGTTGAAAACAAAATAAGCTATTTTGTGGAATGTTGGTAACCAGACAGTTGACGGCACCGACTGACTTCTATAGTAGGAAAAAAAATTACTATGGAAGTCAATGGGTTCCGTCAACTGTCTGGTTACCAACATTCTTTAAAATATGTCTGTGTTCAACAGAATAAAGACATTTATACAGGTTTAGAATAACATGAGGGTGAGTAAATGATGACAGAATTTTCGTTTTTGGATGAACTATCCCTTTAATTTCTGACACTAGCGTCTACTGTACTGAGGATTTGCATCTAAGCAGGGCCTCGACCACTAAAGGGCCTCGAGCTCACTGCAATCTCTCCATTGAGCACCAGGTGGCAGCTCTACACCAGCAGTGTCTCTCTGAGTGATCGGAACAACAAACCGAACGGAGCAAGCGGGGTAAGAGCGTGTCCAAAACCGCCTCTGACCGCCACTTTCAAACTACATCCATGAAATAGCCGCGAACGCGCACTTTAAAGACACTGGAGTCCATCTAGCTCTTCAAGAAGTCCTTATAAACAACCCGGAATCGACCCTGAGGATCGGGTAAGTGGTAAAATGGCGGAGAGATTTATAGAAATTAGTGGCTTTAGGGTTATTTGGATGATGTGTTAGCCGCGCTAGCCTGATAAGCGAGGGACAGGATCCGAAACGAGCCGCCGTGCTTCCGTCGCCGTATTTAATTAATAAAAAACACCTCGCACGGCTCCTTGGGAATTTAAACTACCGTACCTGGCTTCACGAATGAATATGTTACGTATAGTGTGGCCTTTCATTGGTAAACAGTTAGCTAGCGGGCTAACCTTACCCTGCACAGTCAGGAACACAAATTGAGAGGCAAGATGGAGGACGAGGACGCGATGTTTTCCCCCCTCTTTCCGAGATGAAAAAAGCTGATGTCGCAGCTATTATGCTAATTCCATCACGTTGTCAATATTAAACACACTCACTGTCCATTTTTACGCGTTTTATGTACGCGTGTGGTAGATGCGCGTGCATAATGACTGGAAACGAGCGGAGCCAAAATGGAGAATCCCGAAAACAGCTGTGCTGGATCGACTTCAAGATGGAGATTTCCCCCCTTCTGATCGTGTTTTTAGTCGTTCCGTGCAATTATTGTTCGATTTCTCGACTGTGGTCTACATTTGCGCTAACAAGCACGTCATTTAACGTTGAAAATTGTGGCGTTGTGCGTAAAACTCTGCGAGTAATGAAGTATATCGTGGTAAGAAGTACGTTGAGGAGGAGTTTGCGAGCGTCCGCCTGATCTCAGCAGTCAGCACTCAACTTCACATACTAGCTCCATACAGTAGTAGATCACATAATTTCTCACTTTTGTAAACCAGTGGGTCGTGACCCAAAACGGGCCTTTCTTCTGTTTTGATAGGGTGTTAGGCTATAAAATAAAATAAGCTAATAGCGTTTATGTACGACAACAAAATACATTTGTTGATCAACTTTTAAAAAGGGGAAAGACACTTCCCATATCTTTTGTTGTTGACGTCAGAGGCCGTGTGTCCAATCAAACTTTACGGTATTTTGGCGCAAATTCATCTGTCAACTTGGTAAAATGGCTAATACTAATACACTATGCAACATGCGTTAAGATGAATAGGAAAACTGACAAAAACATATGCATTGTTGTTTGCGTGCAGGGTTTGTGCGGTTTTTTTTTTTTTGCTATATACATTCCGATGTTTGATTTTAAGGATGTTTTGCTACATTAGCTTGGTGTCTTGTATGAAAGCCAGTTGTTTTAGATGATCAATGCTCAGTATATGCTAAAAAGAAAGGCGGGGGCATATCTAGACTTCATGTTTGTACTACATTGAGCCCAACTTACAGTTATATTTGAGATATTATTTACACAGCTGATCCGTCCTCATATTGGTAGCGAACAGGAACCGGAGAGCATGGCATGGAATAATGGTGCAGTATTAGTTTTGGGCTAAGCTGTCACTGTCATCCGTGTGTGTATAAGCACAATGGCTGTGGATGGAAACGTCGTTTGGCGCCACTTTTCCTTCGAACGTATTGTCGATGATGATGTTACGTTATAGCTTTTGAATTCCCGCCTTCTCGACGATCATTCTGTTAAGAACGTTGCACTTTATTGCGTCGCTGCACCGTACACGTATATGCTGCTTATTGTTACTTGCTGGGTATTACATAACAGTTATCTCACGTCCTCGGCACACGCTTTGCCCTGCATTTGGTACAGAGAGGAACGTCTTATTGGCCACTTTTCTGTGATAATGTACCCGGTTATTGTGCTATTTAAAGCTTATATAATTCTCACACATTGGAGGACTAAAAGTCACCCCTCTTTATTATGCACATATATGGCCGAAATCAAAGTGTTGCTGCGGCCATGTAATGTTCATAGTATACTTGCTCTACTTTCAGAATATTAGTTTAACATACATTAAACAAACAAAATGATCCGTTTAAAATAATGGGCAGTCTCGGAAAATGCGTCATTTTTACAGCGGTGACCGGGTTCCTTCTCTCCCTGTTCATGTTTACGTCCACAAATGTTACTGTCGACCTCTGATTGGATGTGGTGAAAAGGAGGGCGGACGTGTTATTTCCTTATATGGGTACAGAGGTAGAATGAAGCTCTGGCTCTCGGAGATGCTTCCTGGAAACGATGGAATCTGGATAGCCAATCAGCAAGCAGCGCGATATGTCAGACTCGGCGAGCCACGCCCTCTTGTTTTCATTCTGAGCCCGCGGGCACATCTTCAGCGCTCAGCTCAGAACAGCCGAAACACTTTCATGGCACTGTAATTCTTGACACTTTTGCTATTGTTTTTGGTGTACTGGTAATTTTTCTCATGTCTATTTTATTTTACCAATGTTGTCTGAAAAATTGAATGCCTCTAGTTAAGGCCAAACCTGCTGAATCTTTTATGAAAATACTTTTGTTGTGACAATACAGATGACATCTGCTCTTCACAGAAGAGGTGCCGTTAAGTACTCAACAATGTCTCTAACATAATACTTTTCCTTACTTGTGGTATGAAATTTAGGTAGGTGTAAGCTGTCATATTTTTTTTTTCTTTTAGTCCTCTGAGCAAGGAGAAATGAGAGGTGTAACTCGTACTCCTAACTATATTTTAGGATATCTGCTACCAGATGTAAAATAAATCATCCTGTAATATTGTAAATATTATTAACGTCATTTCTTAAAGCAACCAAGAAAGGGTTTTATATTCAGAATATTTAGATGCAACAAACAAAAACAGTATATTAGTGGCCGATTATAGAGTGCAATAGCTGGGTTCCGGGAAGTAAAAACTCAATTCAGTTTTTCCATAACAAATATTTCTATCTATAAACCTTTAAAAACAACAATACTGTGAGCTACGAGGTTGTTAATAAATGGTATTTGCTTCTGTTGAAGGCGTTAGACTGCATTATTTTAACTTAAAATAATCATGTTTAACATTTTAATTTGTGGTAAAAAACTACATTACCAATGATGATGTACAGAAAATTCCACCGATCAGAGAATATAAAAGCTAAACGCTCCAAAAACAAAAATCATAATTAAAAAAAAAATGTATTCATGTCTTCAAGCCATGCAATGGATTAGGTAGGTTTATTTAGTTTTTTTCTAAACACAATCAACCAAGGGTCCAAAAAAACAAAGCAAGCAAGCGATTTTACTGAACATAAGAACTACTTACTTGTGTAAACACCATAATAAAAATGCATAGAATAAAAAACATCCTGGTTGATGAGTGATGGTCTTCCAGCGCTGTTTCAGCTGTGCGCTTCTATTCTATGGCGCATAGTAAATTAAAGGAGAACTCCGGCGCAAAATGAACCTTT